CTCATACCCTCAAGCCACGATGAACTCACGTTTCAATCACATGTTTTTTCAAATAAATTGCCATTCTCATAGTCATAGGCCATGATAAACTCGCTTTCAATCAAAAGTTTTAACAATAAATTGCCATTCTTAGTTCTCCCATTTAAAAGTCGCTTCTTATATCTCGTGCAGCATGTCCCTCCTAAAAATCTGATCCTTTTCGATAAGCACAAGATATTTTACCCCTTTCACTTCCCTCAGCAACCATTCTCTGCTGTCTTAGCCCCGCGAGAAAACACGCAGCTCAAACACTTTCTCTCCAGGATTTCCAAATTTTCCTCTATTTAGTTCTTTTCCGTGGATTAACACCGCACCTGTATATGTTAAACCTATCTTAAGTCTACATAGTCTAAGTGTCGTTTAAAGATGTCTGCTCTGAGTGCAATTTCACAGTGGCCTCAAAAGCTCTTCTGGTGCCAACCAACCCCAAGAAAACGCTATATATTATCCTGTTGTATGTCTATCCCTTCAGTTAAAAAAGGTATTTCTATGCAATTCGAATTCAATATGCTATATTAAGTTGAAGTTTGATGCGGCTCACTTTGTTTGTAAGAGTTTAGGCTCTGTCAATGCTACATAATGGGGGAAGAAAATGTTAATGTGGCTAAAAATATATTATTCTGGCTTTTGCAGTGATTGTATGTGCCCTTTTGGACAGTGAAATGATTTAATTATATGATTTTTCTATCTTGTTGGTGAAATTGACCCGCTGTTTCTGCTCGTTGGACTACTCCATTTTTCTCTTTGTATAAATTAGGGGGTTATTTTCTGTTTTTGGGTATTGTCTTGATGAACCATATGCAATTAACTTACATCTTTTCTTACACTCAAAATTACTTTACAGTCTTTCTTTAACATAATATGAATGGTTGATGAGATATTTGTACTAAATTTAGGTTCACATGCGACCATAGTACCTAGTCCACAACTGTCTAGAAGAACAGAAGGAGCTGGAAAGAGTATGGAAGATTCAGTTAAACGCAAAATGGAGCAATTTTATGAAGGCCCTGATGGACCACCATTGCGTATACTGCCAATTGGTGGTTTAGGAGAAATAGGGATGAATTGCATGCTAGTAGGGAATTATGACCGATACATTTTGATCGATGCTGGTGTCATGTTTCCAGAGTAAGTTGTAGAATACTGACTTTACAAAAACTGACTTCATACGTTTAATATAACAGGGTTGCCTGAGGCTGATGGCATCTCCATGAACAGTTTGGACTTTTCATGTGTCATGTGCTTTTTTGTTCTTAACAAGCAGTTGAGACAATTTTTGTTCTTTTTCAGTCAAGATGAACTTGGTGTCCAGAAGATTATACCTGATACCACTTTTATCAAGAAATGGAGCCACAAAATCGAAGCTGTTATTATCACTCATGGGCATGAAGACCACATTGGTGCGTTGCCTTGGGTAAAGTTTCTAAATCTACCACTTGAATTGTATTATTCAGAACAGTGATTAGTGAGAAATGTAAGTATGTGATGTTTGTTATACGATGCCATGTTATATTCCTATAGACTTAAGCACATGCTTCTCTGTTTGCTTTCCTCTTCTTTTCCTCTCACCTTACTTAATTTGACGGCTCTATTGAGATACAAATTCAGTTGTATGTTAAGAATTGTTTTTCTCCGGAAGTTTAATCACTAATATTTTCATCTGGAAATAAATTTGGAATCCACTTCTTGTTGAGTTTTTGATATGGGTGGAGATCCGTAATGCAATTCTCAAGCTTCATGATTTCCATTAGTACCTACATCCATACCGTTATATTTGTGCAAGCTTTGAAGGATATAGAAAGTTTCCTTCTGCTTTGGAAATTTTCCCCATAAGTTTTGGTCTTCAAATCTATTGTGTTGGTATTATTAAACCAGGAAAAAAAATTGACTTGAGCATAACTGAGCTATTTTTCGTTCTTTTTAAGCAGGCATAAGTTATGAGTCTAATGGTTTTTGTTTTATCTGGCCTGTTATGAACATCTGATTGTAGCTATAAAATTTTCACTTGGTCCTTCATTGTGCCTTCTGTCCTAGACAATCATTGTATGCCTCTGCTTTGGCCGTCTCTTAGTATGAAATATCTTAATGTAGCATAGATTTGTATATGATATTTTCTTCGATCATGAACTTTCTAAGTAGAGTCAATCGAAGTGCAAAAATGCATGAAGTTACATTTTTAACAAGGAAAAATATTGTTTTTTTTTTTTAAACCTGACATGAAACATCTGACTGGTGAATACGATAATTCTGTAGTTGGTATCTGTACAAATCCTACATGTATTTCACAGGGATATCACCATCTTTTGTTTTGGAAGTTCCTTTGCTTAGGACAAGAACCAATGAAGTACCTTCTTTCTTTTTTCGTTCAAGTATTATAGTCAAAGATCGTGCCTTTATTAATATTGTATTGAATGTTGTTTATCATGGCTCTTACCAACTCTGCCCATTTGAGCAGGTCATCCCGGCCTTGGATTCACAGACACCAATATATGCTTCATCATTTACAATGGAGGTTAGTTTTAATTGTTCTATGAATTACTTGGATATGGTTTTTTCATAATGGTTGTGATTACTGTAATATGGAGTATTTTGATTATCAAAGTATTACTCAAATGTTTAAATCTGAAAAAAGGTCTTCACCAAATTCTTGGAAGGTCTTTATAACAATCGAAACTTAACGAGTTGATGCAATTCTTTTGGAATACCATTTATGATCAATGGAATAGGCCAAATATTATAACTGCTTGACAACTGAAATTGAGTCAAGTGTTGCATATCAAGCAGATACTTAAATGTCGACCATTTTTTTTCCCTTCATAAACAGCTTATTAAGAAGCGCCTGAAGGAGTTTGGTATCTTTGTACCATCTCGACTAAAGGTATTTAAAACAAGGAGGAGGTTTGTTGCCGGTCCTTTTGAAGTTGAACCGATTAGGGTTACACATTCTATTCCAGATTGTTCTGGGTTGGTTTTCCGGTGTGCTGACGGTACTATTCTTCACACAGGAGACTGGAAGGTATTTCTGTCAGTTGTTTATTGTACTCCGCATTTACTTATCTCTTTTACTTTTTACATTAATATGAACAAATAATTTGACAGATAGATGAGTCACCCTTGGATGGGAATGTTTTTGATCGTGAGGCTCTTGAAGAACTTTCAAAAGAAGGAGTGACTTTGGTGAGGAGTGTAATCTGTCTTTCATACTTTTATTAGTTCTATTTCTCTCATACTAGTTAGATCTCCAAACACACATTCAAAATAATTTCTTGCACCGCATCCATTGGGAAAAATTTTGATACATATTTCTTTTGTTGTGATATATATGACTTTTTGATGGAGAAGTTTTAGAAAACTTGAAGACTCAAAAAAGTAACCAATACAAAAGTTATCAAAAAATCTATTTGGCATTAACATAATTTTTATAAATTTGTTTCAAATGCAATGCATATAGTTTTCTATCTTATAAAAGAGATTATATATAAAATCAATACTGTGTTGTGAACTATACATAGATTCTTGCCTGGAGATTTATAGTTTACCGTGGCATTTTTGAAGCTAGCTTTACCAAAAAGGAGAACTGCACTACTGAGTTGTAGAACTTCTTTTGGGATTATTATGGCCAAAAATAAGTAAAATTCCACTTTTATCTGATGGTTCTTAGAGTTCCTTGTAGCTCACTAGAGCCATTATATGGTTTGCACATGAATGCTGGAGTGAAAAAAAAAAAAAAAATATTTGCATCGTCAATTAACCACAAACTTCAATGTGTAGGCTAGCTGCTGTGAACTCCCTGATTTTATGTTCACTTGGTTAATCAAGATTCTACGTAATTTTATTAATCTTGAGATTTACAGTAATATTTAGTTTACCTTCAATACTGAAAATGATCTGGAAAGGTATCATTGAGTGTCAAAATCAACCTTTGACTTACGCAAACAGCATTGAGTAACATAAGAATGTCTGAAATTGTTTGGGATGTTCTACTCTTTTGATGCATCACTTTCTGAGAGCATTCCTAGATCTAAGATTCAATTTGAACGTCCAGCTACTGTGGCCCGGTTGGCAAACTGTATATGTGGCAATACAATTTCTGATGCCTGTTGTCCTTAGTGTTGACACTTGTTGACCTTGTAAATATCCTGCAAGCAGCAAGCTTATCTCCAATCATAGGTTTTCTGAAGTCAATTTTTTGAAATTATTGTTGACCCATTACGTGTTTTAATAACAGAGTGATTATGAGGCATATAACTGTTAAGCTATCTTTCACAATAAAAGCGCAGAATGCAACTAACTTATTCTTATCTTTCTTTATAGATGATGAGTGACTCAACAAATGTACTTTCCCCTGGAAGGACATTGAGTGAGACAGTCGTGGCAGATTCATTATTAAGACATATTTCAGCTGCCAAAGGAAGGGTTATCACTACCCAGTTTGCTTCAAATATACATCGACTTGGTAGTGTAAAAGCTGCAGCAGATCTGACTGGAAGGAAGTTGGTATGCTTTATATTTCCTCGTAGTCCACAGTTAACATTTGAGAGACTAAAAGCAAAAAGAAAAAAAAAAAAAGCATTTGAGAGACTGATATCACATTTATTCTCTTTTTAGGTATTTGTTGGGTTGTCCTTGAGAACTTACCTTGATGCAGCATGGAAAGATGGAAAGGCACCTATTGACCCTTCAACTCTGGTAATCTCTTTGAACCTTCTTATTGGCCTAATCCTTTCTGCCAAATGGGTTTTTAAGTAGGCCATTCACACAGTTTCTAAATTATCAATATATCTTATGCTAGTTCTTCAGTGGTGGTTATAACTTTTTGTTCAAAATATTGATAGTCTTGGCTTTTATTATTATTTGTCTATTTGTCTGCTCTGCACTTCTCACAATATTGTTTTTTGGGCTAGATAGTTCCTAATGCAACTTTTATTTACAGGTGAAAGTGGAAGATATTGATGCTTATGCCCCCCAAGACTTGCTAATTGTCACCACTGGTTCTCAAGTAGGTTTCCAAGCCTTTTCTTCATATTATTAGTTATGATGTTGACTTGAATGCTTATTAAATCTCTCTCTCTCTCTCTCTCTCTCTCTCTCTCTCTCTCTCAGGCTGAACCACGTGCTGCACTAAATCTTGCGTCCTATGGAAGTAGTTATTCTCTCAAGCTGAACAAAGAAGATCTTATTTTATATTCTGCTAAGGTAATTACTCTATGAGTCGCTGTTGACCAATCTCTTAATCTTGATTCTCTCTTAAGATTTTATTGTTTACCATGACTGGAAGTATTCATTGAGAGTTTGGTTTTTGAATCACGTCTAACATATCATTGTGTGAAAATGCTCTTGCAAGATAATTGAGCTTTGGTTGGTTTCACCCGACTGAAACCATGCTCATAATTTTTTTTTTTTTTTTTTTTCNCTTGTGTTCCATATACATCATTGCCCCAATTTCTTTTTGTTTCTATTTCTTTTCCTTTCTTTTTAAAAAAGATTCAAGTATCTTCCAGATGGAGGTTGCTAAAAAATAAAATATATGCAATTTACTTGGCAACTCTTACTTCCTCTATTGGTTGATTTCTATGAAAACATATTCATATAACGTAGTTTAGATATAAGCTAATAAGGGAAATAATGAAATTACTTTTGAGAAACACATTAGCAGCTAATATGGGGTAATAATGGAAGTAAAAAGATGTAAGTTAAGATAATTTTAGAACTTAGGCTTTGAATAGGGAAATTTTTAAAATATTTTGTCCTTCCAGGCAGTAATGGTGAAAAGTGGAACGAAAACATTTTGGAAGAAGAATAGAAAAGTTTTGGAGATCGGATGATGGAAATGTCAGGATTAAAATTGATGTGGTATAGAAAAAAGTAAAGTAGTGATTAAAAATGATTGATAGGTAGAAAGGTCAGTGAGTGAATAATGATTTTTGTTGGGAAATGTGTACTAAGGATTGATTTTATTTAAAGATTTGTGTTAATGGGATTGAGGAGAAATAGGTGAATGAAAAACGTATTTTTTGAACTTTTTTTTTTTTCAATCACATCTTTACGGGAAAAATCTGTGGAAATGGAAACAAAAATTTTAGTAGTTACCTCCAGCCTTACAGTTTCTTGATTGAATATGCATCAGTCGTGGTATGTATTGACTCAAAGATGAATCCTACGTTATAGGTAATTCCAGGTAATGAGAAGAGAGTCATGAAGATGCTTAATCGTGTATCAGAAATTGGATCAACTGTAGTTATGGGGAAGAATGAACTACTGCATACATCTGGTCATGCCCATCGTGAGGAATTGGTAAGATATTCCATCGTTACTATTTTATGCTTTTTGATACACAATATCGTAGGACTGTGCTGCATTTTCAAATTACCAAAAAGCATACCTGGATTGGGAGGACACGTGGGACACACCTCACATGAGCTAGTCTCTTTCATTTTGCATGCTATTCTAATTGTTTCAACTTGGTCTATATTTTGAGCTAGCACTTGCTCAATGTATTTTTTAATATTTTGTCTTTCTGTAGATTCTATGAGTATACTTTGTTTTTATGTGAATGCCAGTCTTTCTCATCTCTCTCTCTCTCACTCGCTCTCGCTTTCTCAACATATATGAACTTTAGAAAAAAAATCTTGGGGTAGACTTTTGGATGTCAAAATTTTCTCTTGGTCATCTCTCTAGAGATTTTTTTAATACACTGTTCACTTATTTTACTTTTTCTTGTTACAAACCTAGGATTTTTTGAGTTGATGTGTTTTTTATATGACTGACCATATATAGAGTTCTTCTTGGCCTTGTCTGGGCCTTGTTATATTTAACACCCCCTTTCAAACTCAAGTATCTGAATTGCATTGCGCATTGAGTTTGAGCAAGTGAAGCCAATGTTGTTCTCTAGTGTGCTTTGGTGAAATCTGCCACTTTCAGTTTTTAGGGCACATACTGAAGATTTGATGACAATGATACTGCGTAAAGGAAGCAATGTGTTTTGTAAGCTCATGCTTCACAGATTATTAGAAATTTGTATGACTTCGACAATTTGTATGGCTCCAGTATTATCTCGAAGAGGTGTAGGAGCATCACATGGAATACCAAAATCAGCTAACCACCGAAACAATATAATTTCTGAAGTGGTAGTGGATCAGGATCCTCTAGTAGAATCAACTATTGTCATAGAGTATAAACCTCCAATATAGTTGATTCCATAGATTCTGATGTGTCATAGAATCAGCGAACACATATGGACATTGGACTAGCCGAGATAGGAGAGAGGCGGACGCGTCGTGTGACCTATTGTCGATGAGTATAAACCTGTAATAGGTGGTTTATATGAGGGAGGCTCGTCAGATATGACTTATGAGTGGTGGAGGTCATCATGAGAGGTTGGGAAGACATAAGAACGTAAACTCTGTGGAAGAAGATGTGGGGTGTGGAAGGGTTATGACGATCTTTGACAAAGGTTACACGAGATATACACAGAGCAAAAGAATCATAACAATGATAAGCTCAGGATTATACCCCAAAAAGACGCACTCAATCGACTGAGTAGTTAGTTTAGTGCGTTCACGAGGAGAAAGTAACACATATCATCTATGTACATCCGAATGATCATAGCTAGGGGGACGACCAAAAAGTACCTCACAAGGACACTTACCAACTGTTTGATAAGATAAACAATTGTAGACGCAACTTCTCCCCCAAAATGAGAAGGAACGAAAGAGGCAATGAGAAAGGGTTCAAGCAATCTCAATGAGCATGTGCACGAGGACAAGAGAGCTGGGCAAGAGTACATGAAAAATTGTCACATAAAAACTCACCACCAGAATCAACACGAAAAATTTGAATAGGATTAGAAAACTGAGTAAGGACCATACGAGCAAAATCCTTATAAATGAAACACAACTGATAACTATGTTTAATAACATAAGTCCAAGTATATCGAGAATGATACATAATAATTATTTCCACGTTTTGTAGGAAAAGGGGACGACCCCTGAATAAGATTAAAAGTCCTAGCAGAATGAGAAATACTAGTAGAATATGGGAGTTGCAACTGCTTTTTGAGCTTGCAACCCTTACAATGAAAACTAAACTCGATAGATGTACGACCTAAACAACCATAGACAGAGGAGACACATTGAAATGATCATAACGATGATGCCATTTGGAGAAGGATGAGGTGGAAGACGAGGCAACGGATGACACACGAGCGGTAGAAACAATTGAAGAGGGAAGATTTAAAGTGTCTAAAATGTACAGACTCAGAGAACCTCTACGGCGATGGTCAGTCCCAATCAGTGGCATATGGTGGCTCATGGCGACTAGCCACAAAACTATCGGATAGCGTGGCGGAAAATGATGGCGGGCTCAAAAAATATAATATTTTATGTATATTATACATTCAAATATCTATACACAGAGACACACATACATAACAACATATTTAAGCTTAAATAATGTCAATTACTACACAAAAATAAAATAAGTTGCATAAGAAAGAGCTGAAAATCAAAGCAAAATAAACAAATAAATAGTTTAAAATAAACGACAACCAGAAATAATTATTTTGTAACAAAAGAGAGCTGAAAATTAAAATAAACTAGTATTCGATCCATTTGCACAGAGGGAACAAAAAATTATATATTATATGTACAAATATGATACTTAAAAATTTAAATTAGATAAAGTGTGTATTACATTTTAAAATTTTGACTATATGTAAATGTATAATATAAATATAAATTATTTAAATTCCATATCAATCAGTTTTTAATTTTTTTTTTTGTTATTGTATAACTAAAATACAAAATAGGAATATTACTTGGAAAATAATTTAATATTGTATCTTTAGAAAAAATTAAAATCTTGTAAAATTGTTACAGAATAAAAAATTGATAATAATAAAGTTTTACTTGTGTAATTGTCATTTGAATGCTGGTCATAAAGATTTTTTTTTAAATGGTGAACATATTTTTATTAAATGAACTCATATTATTATTAATTGTTGGCTGAATAAAATTTATTGAAGTTTTTCAGTAATTATATATATATAGATAAGTAAATTTAAAAATAGAACATTCAAGAAAAATTGACTTTTTTAATTTGATGTGCAAAAGGGAAATATTAAAAGAAATAGATAAAAGTTGATAAGTTAGGAAGCCAAAAGACCACCATGGTCGCTATTTAACAACACTGGTCCCAATCACAGTACCGCTTCAACGATCTTGAATAAACCATCAAATCCAACAAAACAGGTCTGACCGACTTAAAGAAGATTCACGGATCAAATATGTCAATCAACAAGCCATTAAAATCCCACTATGTAGGGTCGGCCATATGGATCACATGTCGCCATCGTACTCGATTAATGCACATATCCTCATTCTTAGGTCTACCCTTCCCCCTTTTAATTTGCGTTCCCTTCTCACTTGTGCCTCGAAGTCTCTTCTACGCATATGCCCAAACCATCTTAATTCTCTCATTTTTCTCCTCTATGGGCGCTACCCTAACTTTATTTCTAATCTTATCTAATGCTTTCATTTCTAATAAGAGATTAGGTACTGAAAAAGAATTGCATAGAGAACCCTCATGAGTAATATGACAAGACGTGCCATCAGCTATTGTCCGAAGTACCATCAGTGACCGCTTGTAGGCAACCAACTAGGACTGATTAGACATCACATGGAATGATGCCACTGAATCGAGAACCCAAGATTGAGGAGCATTGATAGGTGAAGCAATAAAAAATACATACCCTTTTTGTAGCAGGAGTCGGACCACGTGTCCGCGTAGCTGCAGGGTAGTTGGCCAATCTTTTTGGATGATCAGAAAAACAATTTTCGGCACTATGACCTGTCTTGCCGCAACGCTGACAAGAGTCTGAAGAGCCACCTTTTGGTGCACTAAGCCGTTGAGAGGATGCCCTATGAGAAACTGTCAAGACATTATGAGATACTGACGAAGAAACAAGTTACATATAATGGAGACGACTCTCTTCAGTAATTAAAATTGTACAATGCTTGTGACATGGTTAGGACTTGGGGTAGAACAATTATGAAGCAACCGTGTACGAATGGACTCAAATTCTACTCTAACTTTTATGACAAAGCGATATATAAAAAATTTCTCAATAAATTTATGTGCTGAACAATCTTCCTTGCATGGAGGTACCATGGAGAGCAATGGTCCCTCAAACGATCAAAAGTTGATCAAAGGTTGAGCAGTTCTCATCAACGGACATATCATTCTTGTTTGTGTGGAAAGAGGAAATGCTCATAATCATAGACTGCTTGACACTATTGACGATGACCGCCATCACTCTCCCCTCATTAATTTGCCGTATCCTGATGTCAACAACATTACTATGATCGGCCTTTCGTTGTGGTCCATCATCGGTCAAGTGGAAAGCTAGACCATAACCCCTCAATAATGTTCCCATAGATAAAGCCTACTCTCGATAATTTTGTTAAGTGATATTGATAACAATTGCATTGAGTTGCAACATGATTTGACGACGTATGACAAACTACTTTCATGATGGACGAACGATACACGAACAGCGATGTATATGAATGAAGTTGTTGCAATGAGCAACGTAAGATCATAAGGCGAATTAGTGACGACAAAAAACAGGAACTGAAAGGTGTCGGGATCGATTGAAATAAACAAACCCTAACCCGACAAATGGCTGGTCCAAGAAAGGCAAATAAATACACCAAAAAAACCTCTAAAACAAGAAACTGAGAGCACTGCCAGCAAGGTCTCGAAATTCCATGCTAACGGATTTTCGCCTTTTTTCTGACGAGTCACGCGCCCTCATATGTCGGCACGTGGATGGTCCGCAGCCTGCTGTCCTAGTGCGTGTGACTTACACGTGCGGCATTTTCCGGCGAGATTTGGCTGAAGAGTGAATCTTTGGGCGGCGATAGGGATGAGCACGGGACTTGGAGATTATTGAACCGTTTCGAAAATGAACTTGAATTCATCCCGAACCAACAAATATACTATATGTTATATACTATATATAAACATATAAGATATAACATATACTATATGTTATATACTAGTTTTAAATTGAAAAAAAGAAGACGGACAGGCCTGTGTACTTCAATTTTTTTTTTTTGTACGGTTCTGGAGAATCATAGAATGTCCATACCAAGAACCGAACCGAAATGGACCGAACCGAAAATAACCGCATCGAACCGAAGAATCGAACATGAACCGATTCCAATTCGTAAAATCCATATAATGTTTTTTTATCTTTGTACATAATTGTATTTAAAATTGAATCCCAAATAAATAATAAAATCAATATTAGTCCATAAAACTATCATAAATTATATTTAAAATTGAATTGCGAATAAACATCCACTATCGAATGTTAATAGAATTTACTGATTGAATAAATAATCATTTTATTTTTGCACTGAATATGCGACATAATTGAATCTAAGATCTCAATTTTGAATCAATTTTTTGAAAATATAATTAAATGAACATGCTCTACCCATCACAAATTTGGTAGCCAACATGTCAAATATTTTATTAAAAAAAATCACTAATTATAACTTAATCAAATTTAAATATCGAATGTTTGGAAATCGACCTTTATGAAGTAAGTCTTTCACAAAATTTAGAGAAAATTATTTATTTAAAAGGTGATATATTTTCAAATAAAAATAAATTAATAGATATTATTTCCATAATAGTGGATTAAGAACGGATATACCGATTATTTCATTAATAAATTAATAAATTATAACTTAATAAGATTAAACTATCCTCTTTTCCAAAACAAACTTTATATGTACTATATGCGTATCTCACACAATATCGGAAGAAAATAATTTATTTTGAAAATATCCTTTTATTTAATTAGTAATATCTTTAAATTAATTATTGTTCATGAGTACATCTTATCACTTGCAGATTTTTTATCATATAAACGATTAGCATTGAAATTTTTTAAATTAAATTATATCTTTGAATTAATGATATTATGCATTATAAGATATTTATTACTCTTTTTATGAATTTAAAAAATATTTTAGCCACCTATATTTATTATTAATTGACGAAATATCCTTTGAGAGGTTTTTGATCTCTTTCATCCATGATATGTACAATTTAGGAGATTTCTTAAATTTTTTATTAAAAAAAAAAGAAAATCTCTAAAATTTCCGATCCTTACCGAACCGAGCCATTAGACACGAATCTTCGAACCGAGATGATCCGAACCGAAATTCGATTCGGCTAGGAATGGAGATTTACTCGAACCCGTTCCGGAGATCCAATTTTTGGGATTTCCGAAGTTCGGTTCAGTTGAGGAGATTTCTAGATCTCCGAAGCGAACCGACCCTCGCTCGGCGAGATGATTACTGTGGGAGGTGAGACTTGAACGAAAAGAATATAAAACCCTATTTCTTTTGCACTGATACTATGTTACAAGCCTAGGGTTTTGTGAATTGATGTCTTTCCTTTGATATGAAAGACCATATATAGAGTTGCCTTGATATACTCAACATTTCTCACCCAATTTTATCAATACAATTTTTAAAATAAAACTCAATTAGCACTGCACATTTCTTTATAAAATTTACGATTCACCCACTCACATTAACTAGCGCTCACTTTCATTTTTTTTGCATCACATCAATTCAAACCATTGCACTTTCATTTTACATCCAATCACACTTTCCAAATTATTATATTTTCTCCCATTTTATTTTCTATATTGAAATGAAATTTTTATTCAATGAAAGCATATCAAATCACACCCTTGTGTCTCCAGCATATTCTTATAATAGTTTCTCATATTAATTAGGGAGCAATGTGATTATCGTATTTGCATCGAAAGCTCCAACTACTTTGTTGATGGTTCACAAATTTTCCTTTTGAAGGATGAAGTGCTTAAAATTGTTAAACCACAACACTTCCTACCTATTCATGGGGAACTCCTGTTCTTGAAAGAGCATGAATTGTTGGGAAAGTCAACCGGCATTCGGCATACTACAGTAAGTAATTTTTTTTTTTTTTCTTTTTTTTTTTTATCGATGCCGTAAGTAAATTTTAATATTTCAGTTTGTTGCATCTTGTTCCATAGAGCACTTATATTGCTTGAATGTTTTCCTTTTTCAGGTTATAAAGAACGGGGAGATGCTAGGGGTATCTCATTTACGAAACAAAAGAGTTCTATCTAATGGTTTCATTGCCCTTGGCAAAGAAAATTTGCAGGTTACTGTTAAATTCTCCCCATTCTCTCTCTGTTTCTCTCATTTAAACATGAAATGAACTGCATAAACTTGTATAATTTGATTAACTAACATAATATCATACTCGCAGTCGATGTATAGTGATGGTGACAAAGCATTCGGCACGGGATCTGAACTTCGTATTGATGAGAGGATGAGAATTGCATCTGATGGCATTATAGTGGTTTGGTACGCCATTTTGAATAATTAACTGAAATTGCTTTCTCATATTTATTCCTGCATGATGTGAGTTTCATATATCTCGTGAAGCATGGAAATTATGCGCCCTCAAGCTGCAGATGGTTCAGTTGACGAGGCTTTGAAAGGAAAAATAAGAATTACCACAAGGTGCTTATGGCTTGATAAAGGAAAACTTCTGGATGCACTTCATAAGGCTGCCCATGCTGCATTGTCAAGCTGCCCAATAGCCTGCCCTCTGGCTCACATGGAAAGAACTGTTTCTGAAGTTTTAAGAAAATTGGTAAGGAAGTATAGCAGCAAAAGACCAGAAGTCATAGCTATTGCTATCGAGAACCCTGCTGCAGTTCTTGCCGATGAGATCAATGGGAAACTGTCTGGAAAGTCGCATATTAATTCTGGTATCTTAGCATTGAGGAGAGCAGTTAATGGACATGAAAAAAGAAGACAACCAATTAAGATACCAGAGGAAAATGACTCTGGTCTTGCAGTTACAAAAAGAATCCCAGAAAAAGAATTAGAAGGTAAATTTACTTTTCTTGCCTAATGAAGTATTACACGACATTACAGTATGTTTTTTCTGGCCCTTAATAGAGATTTTTCTGGCCCTTAATTGGTAGACAATGCAATATGTTTGTGAACGTAAATGAATTTTTTGGCCCTTAATTTTTTTGCCCCCGTAGCTTCTATACAGTGAATTGTTTGTTTGGAGGTATTTTATATACACTGAACTCTGATTTCTGTCCCATAGGGTTTGCCTAGTGATAATATGATATTGTGGGATCTAGATTTGAATAGACAATTGGTAAACTTTAGCTATGTGGACCAGTTAGATTTCTTACCAGTATGCTCGTGTTTCATAAGAGGAGCTTAATGTTATATATCTACTTCATACTGATGTCCACGCAACTTTCAATTGAAATAATTTCCTAACGAATATTGATGTTTCACCATTTCAGCAACTTTAGACACGTATATGTCTAAAATTGCATTCTGTTATATTATATATATATATTGGGCTTGCGCATGAATATTTACATGCTGATGTCTGGTCATGTTGGTGATCCCAAATTAAGTATTGAAAATTACATCAACAAATCATATGTAATAAATTGATATAACATTTGAAATTGGCAGAGAGGGGTGTTGATGTTGATGTTGATGAATCTGATGGTTTCTGGACGGCATTTATATCCTCGCCAGCTGTCAATCAACAAGAGGATAACAATGATTTGGTTCGAGAAACAGAAGATGATGGAGAGAGGGGCAAAGAAGATATGATTGAACTCAACCACAATGTTTCAAAAACTCAACTAAAGCCTTCCAGCTCTTCTAAAAGGAATAAATGGAAACCTGAAGAGGTGAAGAAGCTGATTAAAATGCGTGGGGAACTTCATAGCAGATTCCAAGTTATCAAAGGTCGAATGGCTCTCTGGGAAGAGATATCTTCGAGTTTATTGTCAGATGGAATCAGTAGAAGTGCTGGGCAGTGCAAATCCCTTTGGGCATCCTTAGTTCAAAAATATGAGGTTGGTTTCACTATCTCTAGTTTCCAAATATAAACATCATCATACCTTAAGACTTCTTTAAATTCATTCTATTTCTGAAAAAGAAACAAAAAAAAAAATAAAAAGGAAAAAAGGGCCTAATGGCCGTTGATATATGGTTTAGTCTATAATTGTAAATGCTTCAAAATTACCCACATTGATATCCATTTATATATGGTCGTTGTATTGGTTTCGATCTCATTCTTAGTGACTAACTTTGAGAGCTAATTCTAACTTGAACAGGAAAGTAAGGGTGATAAAAAAGCCCAAAAGAGCTGGCCGTATTATGGGGATTTGGACATTATTTTGTCAGATTTGGAAGCTAATGTGCCCAAATGATTGTACATGCAACTTTTTCTTGCTGTTGTGGAAAGCAAGGACCATATGATGGCTGCAAAGATGCAAAAACTCGGATTGGTTTGGAAAAGCATTCAAATGGAAACGAGGGCTCGGTTGACCGGTGATGCTCAACTTGATACATATGGTTCGGTTCATTTGCTAGCTCACATATAATGTAAGCTCATAAATTATTCAGAAAATGCAGCCTGTGGAAATAAAGATGTGTAATGATTAAATTTTTGTAGCCTATTGAATTTGATACTTGTTAATTGAACAATTAGTTTTGGCCTAATGCTATTGATGGTTATCTACACTCTAATGATATTTGATCGATTAAAGTATTGGTTTTAGAGTTCATAGTATTGGAACATTGGTGTGTTGGAGAGTGAAGTTTGAGTTTCTCTGAGTTGCAAATTCCAAAAGGACTCAGGAGCCTTGGGACCAAAACCAAAGGTCTAAATCCATTGGAGAATTGGGGATTGAATTACTAACTCTATTTTCCGTTTTCATCAACTATTCATAAAATTTGAACTATGTTTGTTGATAATTTTTATTCTCCTTAGATAAATCAGCGATTTCACTTTCAACTATGTGAAATCTGTTGACAACAACGTTGTTTTAATTAATTTATACCAGTTACATCGATATAGCAGGGCTGTTGTCCAATACAGTCACTAATATTATGTAATACATTCAAATTAAACAACAGAAATTTGTATGTAATACATTTAAATAAAATAATAGAAAAATATATCCAACCACTGAAATTTTTATATGATAGAATACAAAATATACTTTCTCAAAACAACTATCCAAAAAATCTCAATTTTCGCACAACCAATAAATTCTTCTTTATATTATTAAATAAATAATATACCATCTCAAAACATCAATTTTCGCGTAACCAATAAACTTTTCTTTAATATCCTTGAAAATATGTATTGATTGCATTTTTTTTCTTTTTACCAGTGACTGATACACGTGAGCCCGTAAAATATTATTTCGCGAAATAAACATCATTGTTCAAATAACTTGACATTTAAAATGTGATTCTTTGGACATCCATATCCATGACCATTGATTCAAATATAAATTACACTATCTTTCACCCACATTATGTCCACCTCATCATTCCATTAAATGTCTCACCATTTTAAGAAGCTCTCACCGTCGCCTCCAGTTGTGGTCTCTTCCCCAGAATGTCAAGCTTCTGGAGCTCAAGCTACCGCTGCATCGAGGCCTGAGGGTGTGGCTTCTTATCGAACTGCTGACCAAACAACTCTTCTAAATACCTCGACTTCTCAGGAGTCAGACTGCAACTACTCCTTATTGATCTTGTTGTAATTTTAATATCTTTTGTTAACGAAAAACTCGTACTTCTTTATTTTTTTTTTTAAAAAACAAAAACTGAACATAATATAAAACTTAAATGTCACAATACGATGGTAATCAAATGATTTCAGTGTAGCTTCTTCATCACAAGCGACCGAAGAAAACTACATACGAGAAAGCAAAGCTTGCTCTCTCTTAATAACTATCTTAGCCAACCGCTTGGCTTAACCCCCTACCCTTCTGAAGTGTTTATT